TTCCTTTGCTGTGAAAAAACTTTTAAGTTTGATGTAATCTCTCCCATATGTTTATTTTTTCTTTTACTTCCCTTGCCCTAGGGGATATATCAGTAAAAATATTACTCAGGGTAATGTCTGCAAATTTACTCCCTATATTTTCTTCTAGGAGTTTTATGGTGTCAGATCTTACATTTAAGTCTTTAATCCATTTTGAATTTGTTCTCATATATGGTGTAAGTAGGTGGTCCAGTTTCATTTTTTTGCATGTGTCAATCCAGTTTCGCCAGCATCATTTATTAAATAGACTATCTTTACCCCAATGTAAATTCTTGCTTCCGTTGTTATAGATCAAATGACCATATATGAATGGATTTATTTCTGGGCTCTCTATTCTGTTTCATTGATCTATGTGTCTGTTTCTATGCCAGTACCATACTGTTTTGATTACTGTAGGCTTGTAGTATGATTTGATGTCGGGTAGTGTGATACCACCGACTGTTCTTATTTCTCAGGATCTCCATGTAAGCCACCCGATTCTTTTTTTTTTTTTTAAGATTTGGTTTTTTATTGTGGAATTAGGGAAGGGTAACAGCCAAGTTGTTGTCCTTCAGTCTTAGTTGTGGAGGGCTCAGCTATCTCAGCTCCAAGTCCAGTCACCATTTGGCTGCTGGTTGGCAGCTCCCAGCCACTCAGCTCAAGGTGCTGTGTTCAATCTTAGTTGTGGGTGGGCGTAGCCTACCATCCCATGAGGGAGTCAAACTGGCAACCTTATTGTTAGGAGCTTGTGCTCTCACCAGCTGAGCCATCCTGCCACCTGTTGGCAGCTCAGCTTGGGCGCTGCTCACTGGCCCATGTGGGAATTGAACCGGCAACGCTGTTGCTCAGAGCTTGCGCTCTTAACCAACTGAGCCACTTTGCCAGCCCCTAAGCCACCCAATTCTTAATAGCAGCCTTATAAAACTAATACACCACCATTTGTTTTCTTCTGACCTACTAAGTGTTGGTATGCAAAGTCATAACATTAGGCTGATTGATTTCTCTACAAATTTACAGCTATCCTCATCATCAACTCAATAGTCCTTTCGCTGACTCTCATTTTTGCCTCATGAGCTTTTCTACTCTGCTGAAGCCCCAGAGTTTTGCCCCCAGAACTGTGAGCAGATGTTCCTGCTTCCTACTTTAGCAAGAAAATTTAAGCCACATCATACAACCTCAGTCTCCCTCCTTTCTACCTTAACAGTTCTCTGTCCTTACCAGTTCTCTCCATCACCCCTCCTACTTCCAAGTGATGCACATCTCCTCGCTCCTTTCTAAGGTTAGAGTCTTCATTTGTGACCTGCTTCCATCCCTGCCTGCCTGTTCCGGAGCCGTCAAGCCTTCCCTTTCCATCTTGGATCATCTCTGTTGATTTCTTCTTCCAAGTCTATACTCTTATTCAAGACCTCTTTCCCTTGTATAAACAAAAAGCTTTCATCCTGCCATCAATCAAGCTATTACCCTATCGGCCTCCTTTCTCTAGTCACGAAATGTGTTAAAACGGAATCTGCACTTACTGCCTAGCTGCTTGCTCTGTTGATCCTGAGAATTCGGCTCTCGCTCTGCCTGCCGCTCATCAACTGCTGTGATCCTTTCCCCTCGGCTCCATTTATGTGCTGCACCACTGACCACCGTCTTAGAAGCCTGGTAGCCACACCAGACAGTCTGTCTCCGTTCTAGCACAGCTGTCACGTGCTCTCAAGCATTTGTTCGGCATGTACTGTGTGCAAAGCACCATATTCCATGCCTGTTACCATGGAGTTGACATGGATGAGTAAACTATCTATGCTACCCTCGAGTAACTCGGGTCCTAGTGAGGGCGAGGAGGCAGCACATATGCACCTGTCAATGCACGCCTAAAAAGCAATTAGACACAGAGAAAATGATGTGGGTATTCACAGAAAGAGCACTTCAACCCAGAGACGGGAAGAGCTCTAATGACAGGAAGTCATCATCATCTGCTTTGTGCTTTAGTCACCTAAGTCTGTCTCAAGCTGTCCTGGGCTAGAAATGGACTTTTTCCCTCCGAGTCTTGTGTAGAGTAGATGTTCAAGAGAAATTATTTTAAGTTGAATTGAAATGAAGAATTCAGACTAAACCTGTTTTGGCCAGCACCCATCTTGGCAAAAAAAAGGTGGAGGAGGAGGAGGAGGCGGAGGGAAGAAGAAAAAACTGGTGAAGTACAAATACTTGACTCACTTCCTCTTGGGACTGTGATATCTTGGCACCAAACTTTGCATTTTGTTTTCATACCTTGTAGCTGGTTGTGGATATATGTGTATGGGAAAGTTGCTGTAGATTTTTCAAGTAGTCAAAGGCCTTGAAAATGACTTTAAGTCATTTTTTTTCACTTCAAATGAAATACCATCTAGTGAGTAGAGGCCAGGGATGCTGCTAAATATCTTAGAGCGCACAGGACAACCCCTATAACAAAGCTGTCTGGTCAGAAATGCCAGTGGTGCCAAGGCTAGAAAGCTTGGCCTAGAATATATGAGTAGGGCATCCACAGGAAGTTTTGCAGTGATGTAGATGAGAGCCAAGAATAATGTTTGTGCACATGGCTCATTTACAAATGATATTTCTCAGACGAGAAACATAATGTTAGTTTCTTGTCTAATTGAATATGAGTATAAAATAGGCAGTGATACAGGCTGGCCATTATTTTTCCTAAACAAAGTCCATTATGGAAAAGGGTAAATGATGATTTATATGATTTTGCTGTCTGGGGATATGTAACTGAGACCAGGAGTCTTGAGCCAAAATGAAGCCGCTGTGATATGACCTCCAGTGAGTCAGCGTAATCCAATGCCATCACACCCAGTAATCTCTCGCAGGGCCAGGGTGGGTGAGGAAGGGATGAAGTTTGCAATGGGCTCAGAGGGCTTTCTTTGGCTTTAGTGAATCATAAAAGGAAAAAAATGTGGTGTGATTGTATTTTCATTAAATGGTTGGAGCTCAACTTTTCACAGTTCTGCTTCAGAGCTGAACGTTTCAAACTGAGAACGGTCAATATTTTAAATCTTACATTAGAAAATGGGGACAGAGAAAGAAATGCTTTTCAACATAATTATGCCAGGAAAATTGCCTTTTATTCTAAATAACAGCTTCTTAGCTTGAAAATAACCTTTTCTTTCCCCGTTGATTTGGCCTTTTTGCCAACATTGAATGCTGCCATGAGGATATTATTACCTGTATGGTAACAAGAACGTCCACACAGAAGATGGTGGCAATGCCCATGACTGTGGCAGTTACCACTGGGATCTTTGTTTAAAACAAAATAGATATACTTAGGATGTGTATTTATCATGTATGAATGTTAGGGATTCCAGATCTGAGGCAGACATGCCCAGAAAACAAATTTTATTCTTACACAAAAGCATCTGAAAATTCCATTATGGGCTTTAAATGCTAGATCAAGGATATGGGGAAGATTTACAAAGGCTTTATAAAAGGGATGTTATTTCTTCTGATATACCCAGTGGTAGAATTTTGCTTGAATTTCTGGTTTCCATGATGCTTCATCTTTGCAGAGTTCAAAATTGTAATCCTTAAAACACTTCCTGGATATGAATAGTTTTATGTGGAATAGAAAACAACTTCTTTAGCTAAGGTTAGTCTGATGGAGGTAATTAAAATCTCTTAGTGATGATTTCCCACCCTGAGGTATCACATGCTTAACCCCTTCATTTCTGGAGAGATTTCAGAATTGCTTCTGGCAAACAGTGACTTCTAATGGAATCCATCAAGGATGCCCCATGGTTTGATGTAAGATCAGAAGGAGGGTGTGTGACAAATGAAAATCATTATGACTCAGGAAAGGCTGCAATGGCTTTGGAAGCCAAAGGACCATCCCTGAATACAGCAAGGCCAGGTACTAGAGGTCTCTATTGAGCACTCTGTGGGCACGTTTTCTGTGGCTGTGTGGAGGGAATTGAGATGCTAGGGTGTCCCACTCTACACGCCACAGTTCTGAGCAATCTGGACCCCCAGATACGCTGATCCTGTTCTCTGCTGAGCCTTCGTGTGAGATATTGCCTCTGCCTAGAATTTGCTTTCTGTCCAACACACACGTGCCAGGTCTCAGTTTAGATATATATATATATCACTTCTGGTGCTTTCCCTATAGTCGACAAAGCTCACCCTTGAGTTTTGGGAGTTCCTGTCACCCCAATAAATTAGGGCAGCACCTATGTTTTGTCCACCTTTAAATCCCCACAGTATTACCTACTGCTGGGTATAGAGTAAAGATACAGTAATTTGAATGACCAAGGAATTCCTTTTTTCAGGTACTTTTGTTATTTATAATCACTTTTCCTAAACAGCTTTTGGTTCCTGGGTGTCAGTCAAACCCACAGCGTATTATGTCAGTTAGATCAAGATTATTCTGTAACTGAGCAAGAAACCAAGAGGGAGATAAGTAAGGTACGGGATGTAACTGCTGAGTATGATGGCCTTGTAGAGCCCCAGAAAGTCAGCCTTATGGGGGACCATCCAGTTTGACCATCTTGTCAAAACCTCTCATTTTTCAGGTGAGAAAAGGAACTCTAGATGGGATAAAGTGACGGAGGTCACAGCCAGGCGTGGCGGAACTAGGATGAACACCTGGTTTGGGGTTTATATTGTAGTGTCTATAGGAAACCCCTCCCAATACCTTCCTCCAACTACACTGGCCTATGTACTTGTTCTTTTTAAGCAATAATGTCTCTTTCCCTCACCTCCCAGTTTCTGTCCTTAGACCAATGTCCTCTAGGCCTTGGTTATAAAAGATAACGAGGCAACCGTTATAGAAATAGTAGCAGGACTCTGTCCCAGGTTTTTCAAAAGCCAGGGAGCCCACCCTGAAAAGAACATAATCACCCCGCATGAATGAATGCTGAGGTTGCCCCCCCTACCCCTCCAGACCCCACTTCGTGGGTGGCAAATCCCAATTCCTGCTGAGCCCAACTCAGCCACACAAAACACAGGACAGCACAGCACACACGTGACCTTTTGCCACTTTTGTATTTTATTGTGGAACTGAGTTTTTTTTTTTCTTTTTCTTTTACATCAAATATCCTCAATGGAAGAGGGGATATTGCACACAAATATCATAAAAGCACTACATATTACTTTCACTGGAAACTAATTTTCTACATTAGATATGACTGGATAGGATAGAAGTGATGCAGGATTATAAGACATAATACCATACACAGCTGCAGACTGACACAAACACCATTCAGAACGAGAGAGGAGTGGCAGGTGCTTCTCCGTTGGGCTCAAGACCACTGCTTTCCAGGGCCGGAAAGAAAAGGGCTGCATGTAGCATGTGTGAGCTGCATCAGCCAACTCGGACCTGCTGCAGGGTGTCCTGGGAAGGGCAGCCCAGTCCTGATGCCTCATCTCGATGGTCCCCTGCTTTGGAGAGCTCCAAACGAGTGCAGAGAAGCTATTTTTTCCCCCTTCCTTTTCAGTTTTTGATGCTGCCTTTTAAATCAACTTAATAAAGTCACAGATTTTTTTTAATAGTAAATCGTTTTAATACCAGGTGAATAACCTAATTGCTTTCAAAGAAATGCTCATCCCTAGGCTGCTTTTGATGTGTTGTTCAGTTGGTTAAAAGATAAAAGCTTACAGTTCCTTTCAAATGGAAACAGGATCTTCTAAATCTGAAGTGCAAAAAAAAAAGTTCTTGTTAATCTAACTCACAATATCATTACTGAGCAAGAACCTCCTGTGACAGGTGACTAAAGAGAGGCAAGAAAAGCAATTTCAGAATCATAGACCAGCTCCTGAGAGCTGAAATTTGGTAACAGAGGGAAAATAGAAGGTGGTAAAATTTCCATTAGCAAATGATTTACTCTTATTAAATGAGTATTGAAAAGCTCCTAAACTGAGTAAGCTATTGGAGACACTTAAAACATTCATATACACTGGGGAAACCATTCACTATGATATGTAAGGTTAAGAAAAAAAAATTTTTTTTTTGAACTCCATGGAAAATGGCATTTGGGGAGGGGGATTAAGTCATTGTATCCAGTCCCACCACAAGACTGAGAAAGCATGCATGGGAGTTGGGTTTTGAGAAAGGGGATAGAATTAGTTAAACTTGAAAATGGAGGATCATCTCTAACATTTAGTCTCCACAGAATTTTGCTTAAGAATACTACCAAAAAGGTCATGATGATGAGTGCCGTCCTGATGGAGTCCCATCATTTAAACAGAGTGTAAATTCCTTCCACTCAACTATTCGATCTATACAATTGGACTACGTAATCAGCGTGAATCAAGCTCCTAGAAGTCTGCGTCAATCTTTAGCTCTCACTATGAATGTACATGGTACATTGTGATGGCTGTTACTAAACTAATTGTGTATTTACGGAACTAGCAAAATTAGGTTAGTCACCCAGGTAAAAAAGGTTTCTGGAAGTACAGGAGCAACCTGTAATGCAAATATTGGCTTTCCTGGTACACTCAGGCTCTGTGGTCATCACTGAGAACAATGGATGGAGAAAGGTACGGATATATTTCATAGGAAAAAGAGCCACCTGACTAATGACAGCTTTCGTTTATTTTCCCCATTAAATCCCACGGGGGGGAGGGGGGGAAGGAAGAGTGCGATAGAATGGTTATAATTGAAAACTGAAAGCTGGCTATAATTCTCCTAACATGTTTATATTTTTTAAAAAGCAAAATAATGTAAATGTTAAATAAATTTAACTTGGGAAACTGTAATATAATTCCATCTTCTAACAAAGAAAAATCAACCAGAGGTCTGGATTTGGCAAGAAGGCTGGAAATCTGTTTGTCTTCCCATGCATTATGTGGTCTAACTCAACAACTAATCATTACATAATTATCTTGAATATCTTAGGTTGTCTCATTACCTAAGTTTGAAGTAGATAAGTGTACACTCCATGAAATTCACTTTTGTCACAATGAGTGTTTCCATAATGTGTTAATTTTTTTGTACCCTTATTCAATATGTTGTTCTTTAGGACTTGAAAAAAGTGGAGTAATAAATAAAAGCTGCATTTCTAGAGAAGCCTAAAAAAAATAGAATATTAATTTTTTTAAAAAAAATTAAACATTTGAAAAGGTAATTCACAGCATTAAGTAGACTGCATAGGTCCTCAGTGAAGGGACCCTGAAGAAGCGTTGTTTAAACCCTCATAGTAGTTAGCAGTGCAAAACATACACTTTACCAGACAAAAATAAACTAAAATGTTACTTTTGAAATAAATAACTAACATAGAAAATAAAATGAGGTCATTGTTCACTACTCTGTAGATCTTAAGAGTCTGTAGGAAATGCAACATGACAGAGCACACACAGCACAGTTGTCACTGAGAAGTTTGCCACATCTGAACCCCGGGTGCATTGATCTGCAACTTGAAACTTGACGTCAGTTTTAATCATGATCTGGTTTCCCAGATTCATAGTTCAATGATGACAACGATGGAAGTGATCTCTGAACTCTACATCATGAACGGTCAGAGTTGGGATTTTATTTGCTCTCAATGTATTAGTTCCTTCTTTATTTTTTTTTAAGGAAAGAAAATCCCAAAGCAAATTTTCACTAGGGTTCTTGGAACTTGTCTTAGCTCTTTTACCTCGTGGTTGAAGATCTTGAAAGAAGTATGTAGGATATCATTGGGTGATGTAAAGGCCTGGAAAAGTAGACTACCATGCCATCCTCCCCTACTCTCAAATAGCACATACTCAGATTTTTATGTTATGGGAATCAAGGGGTGGGAGGTATCCTATTCCTGGTAGTTATGGGTTTTAATAAATATTATCACTGCAATATCAGACTTCGATCTCACCAGAACTATTGATATTTTTGTCTTATGAAACAGTTGGAAAAAAAAAAAAGACTGTCACTTGAAAATTTTCTTTGCATTTTCCTGCAAATGAAAACATTTGTTAAAAAAGTTCATCTATGAAAAGTTCTCACAGACCTAACAAAAAAAGTTCTTCTGTACACTTGTTCAATAATTATGCTGAAATGAATGGAAAATTAAAAAAAGCCAATGTAAGACAAAGGAAGGTAAATACTGTACACTTGCTGAGAACCTCTTCCACTATAAGATTCACTGTTTTCCCAGTTCTGATCATAGAAGCCATTTCCACCTTGAACTTGCAGTAGTAAAGAAGCTATGAAAGGCTCAACTTTGTTTGGCTGAGGGGCCGCAGGGGCACTGAGGTGGTATCCCACACGCATGACTCAGCATCAAACTGTTGCACCAATCAGATCAGCTTCGAGTACCCCCACACGTGCACACACATGCTCCTGTAACTCGAGTAGCTATAATCCTACACGAATGTTTTATAAACTTGCTGTCTCACGTTAAAAAATAATAAGTGCATCAAGTATCTTTGTACATTCAAGTCACTTTCTAAGGCAAATTGTCTACTGTATGTACTCCCAACTGCTTTGGTATTTGCTTGTTAATTGGGGTGGACTTGAGCGTTTCCGCATGCAGGTTAATTGACTCAGAGTGGACTAATTGGGTGCACAGATGCTGGGAGCATGCCTTAGATCAATCTACTTGTGTGTTTGAAGAGTCTGAGAGTTCTGAATGGGGTTGAAACCACTTGGAGGTCCAATCTACGCTCACTACGTTATGTCAGTGTGCAGCCTTCAAACTGAAGGAGCTTAATTAAGGCGTGAAAAATCTCACATGCCCTCATAACAAGTTTTGTTTTTGTGTTTTCTTCCAGCCAACTTGTTTTAAAAAATTAAGACCCTTGTTGATGACTCAGACTGACACAAGTTGAAAACTTTGTCTATGCAGACTACAGAATACAGGCTGCCTGAGAAAATGCAGACCGAATGGGTTATTTTCTCTTCCTTACTCCACCCTGCTCTCTCTTTTTCCTCTCTGGGTATCTCACCAGCACTCTCTACCATTATATCTCCTTCTCTTGCATTCTTTTTCTTTCTCATTCTCTTTCTCTCTCTCTCCTGCGTTCTCTCTTTGTGCGCGCGCTCCCTCTCACTTTCTCAGACAAATACCTAGCAGAAGTCAGTTGGGTTTGCTAGTGCATGGTTTCCAAATGTTCAGCAGAGATGAACCGGGGTAGGTAATTTTGCAGTAACTTGAACCCTATTGTGGGAATACTGTTACTTCCCTTAGCGATCAGCAAAAAATGAGAAATATTAGTGGACTTGCATCACCATGACATAGTATAGCGTTTGGCAGGTAACAGTTCAGCGACTTATTTAGATGAATTGACTTTTTAGAAAAAGGTGATTTCAAATTGAAGAATTTCTGGAAACAAAGTTCAAATCCTGTGGTGTGCTGGCCTTGGTCTTTATAATTCGATCTTGCATGCAGGGAAGGATTCATCTTGCATAACCACTGTGCTGCTGCTTGCTAAAACCATGATGTTGAGGTCCTGCTGTTTCTCATGGGTCTCCTGGTACCATTCCCTCATCACTTCTGAGTCATGAGTCGGGATCAGGGTCACCTGCAGGGAGAGAGAAAATAGCTTAAAGGGAGAGCCAGAAATCAGAGGGGAAAAAATTAGAACAATAAGGTATTAATTAGACCATCTGAAAGTCATGGAAAGAAAGGAAAATTTTCTATTTTCCTCAAGAAATGAGAAGGATTTTTCAACTTATATTTTCCAGGAGCCAGAATAAAGCTGCAAAAAAATAAAAAAATAAAAAATAAATAAATAAAAATCAAGTTTTTCTGGGAGGAATTGAAGACTGGAACCAAAAACAACTAATGACTAGTCAATTAGTTCATCAATTAGTTCATCTATAAAACTGACATCTGTCAGTTTTTCAATTCTTTAGTGTTAAGAGAAGAAGTGCTTCAGTTAAGGTGGAGTTTCTTGTATTTCCTTTAATGCACCTGGTAAGTTTTTCATCAAAGATATTGTACATTTAATCCAAGAAGCTTTGGTTATTATTGCAGTTCAAAGCCCCTTAACATTTTATCTTGAGAACAAAGATTTGTATCTTTAATAAGTATGTGTGATTAGGGATGGAAGAGTGTGGTGAGGGGTGGGTGGGTACTGGCATGAATAGTAAAAATTCCATCTAGTATTCCTTAAGAGACCACTGGTGCTTCTCATGAGATTTCACATGATTAACTAACAAGTAATTCTATTTATTATTATGCAAACACAGTGTACTAGGTGACTGGGCAGACAAATACAACTTAGATAAGCAAAGATCACAGCCGAAATAATAAAGCGTGGTTCTTGGCCGGTCATTGTGTTTGTAAGTTGCCTGGTGGGGACCATCAGCAGCAGCGCTCCTCCGGTGGCATTTCGCATGGACAGGCGGTTTTCTAAATGGCCACACTCCTAGCTTTGATCTACGGTATTTGTGAAACACAAAGCAGTAAAAACAATTCCTTAGCAGATCTCACATGGAAATACGACCACTTTGATTCATACACACATACTCTTGGTATATTAGGGGGAATGGACAAGTGATCTCAGGCCCATTTTGCAGATAAGTGAATTAGGCCTTAGGGTGGTAAAGTAGCTTTCTTCCCAGGCCATGAATGTTATTGGTGCCAAGAATACAATTTTAGACTATCTTCTGTGTGTGAAATCCATTTTGTCCTCACGTGTGACATATTGCAGGTGTGACAGACCCACAGGGCACCACACAATCACAACACGATGCCTCTTGAAACACGGGTCCTTCCCTCTGTCTCTGGGCACAGCTCCTCGTGTAGTGCAGACACCGCCATGCAGCTCTTACCTGCATGTTGCTGCCCCACTGGGCCTTCCCTTCCAGCAAGGCATCCAGGACGGCCCGGCTGGGCTCCTCGGCAGCGGGGTCATTGCCACTCACCACGTAGTAGGACGACCTCACTCTCTTGAAAAATTCAACATCAACATTCTTACTATTGCTGTGGTTGGGAATATAGCACAGGTCCAAATACACAGGGGGGCCTGGAGGCACAGCTGAGGGCTTGGCCGTCTTGGTGGTTCCTGGTCCTTGGGTGAATAAACAAAGAGAAAGCCAGGGTCACAGGAATGTAAAGAGACCCACAGGTCCAGTCCACCTTCCCTACTCATCTTCAAGAAGGTCTACAGGACACGCAAAGGGGAGGATGGGGGGAGGGCACTTCCCTCTCTCTCATAGAGGGTGTTTAGCACTGACAATTTGAGAAGCTGTAACACGGTTGTTGGCCATCTCACCAGGGGGAATGAAGAAAGGAACCTTTTCCTCTTGTGGACAACCCATTAGGAAGTAAGAAGAGTGTCAAGGCATTCCCAAAAGATGGAACTAAATGGTAATACTTCTAAAAAGAGGTACCAATGTGTAACTTAATTTGAAAAGTGATCTAAAAAACCGATTTGAGAAGTCACAAGGAAGCAGCTGCATTTGGTCAACTATAGTTAAGCAATGTGAGTAATCCATGTTAGGGTCTCATTTGAGAGCAATTTGGCCACAACTGAATATCACACCCTAACATTTGACCTAGGAAATGGTTCAGATCTTAATCTCATATGATTCCCAAAGCCCTCAGCGCCTCAACCTCAATCATAAACTGATGAAACGCCATTTTCTCCCCTGAGCACAGGACTCTGAAAAGTGAGACACCCCAGGCTACACAAGGCTGGATACCAAGCTTTGGCCAGAGGAATGTCCAAAAAGACTAGGCTTTCTCTAGCCAATCAGGACATACCAGACTGGGGACAGGGTCATCCGGCTGCTAAAATTCCCAGTCTAAGTCAGAAAGGGCCCGGGCAAAGTAAAGACTCAGATTAACCCAGAAGTTTCCTGGCATCTTGTTTGATGAGCTGGCTTTCTGACTTGTTCTAGTTAGAATTTAAACTTTTTGAAACATTAATAGAACTAGCATTCGAAGGCAGTGTTCTTCACACTGGCTGCATAATTAGAATCGTCTAGCATCCTTAATACTAATGCCCAGGCCCCATGCCCCAGAGTCTGACTTAATGGGGCTGGGGTGGGGGCCTGGGCACCACGATTTTTAATAGCACCCCAGATAATTCTAATGTACAGTTGGTCTGAGACCACTGCTGTAAAGTCATCTACAATATCAGCTGGATACTATATACTTAACCCCATTTCCTTTCTCCATAGGATGTTTAGACTGTCATCCTAGAGTCAAAACAACCAGTGAGCTCCACGAACTGGCCAGTTTTATTTTTAAGGGGTTAGGAGCGTGATGCGAATTAGTCAAACTGATATTTAGATAAACTAACTCATTTCATAAATAGATTAACCAGCCATTTTAATGAAGCTGAGCTCAAAACCCTCAAAATATCCATGTAAAGGCCGCTTAAAGAACTCTGACTTACAGAAGTTTATGAGTGACAGTTCTTCTAATAATTAAAAATGCCGGTAATTTTGGCTTGCACACTAAATCACTACCATCAACACCAAATGAATACTGCTCATATAGAAGCACAAACTGAGGAAACTGCCAAAAGTCAATCCAGGTTTGTTTTAAAAATCAATTAACAGTGCAATTTCGTCTTTTTAGAAATCTATTAGGGTGTGCGCTTTGGCAGCACATCCACCAGAAATCTATTAGAAAAGCATCTTCAAATTAACTAATCTTTATTTACTACTTTGCCTTGAAATTATCTCTTTAAATGACAAAAAAATGTTTTAAAAAATCAATTGTGTGGGCTAGAGTATACATGTTTGGCAAGTTGGGAAGCAAATGTCAATTGGCCTTTTCTGTTTGAATGGATTTCACGTTTTATCCCTGCAGGTCAGTTGTCACCTCTTTTAGACCATGGTCCTCCATGTTGCTTAAAGTAAAACGTTGCAGTTATAATGTTTCCAAAAATGTAACGAATTCGAAACTCCCAATGTTCTTCTATCAGATTTTTCCTAATAAATCAAGGAAATGTTATTTAAGTTATTTTTGCTTTACATATTTGGGTCAATTTACCTTACTTTGTGAACTGTGGTCTAAAACCCCAGAGTAGCTCCATAAAGCAAACAATGTATTCATGCAAATCCCTGTGATTGGTTTGAAACAACAAAATGAAGCTAGGCAGTCAGATCTCTTCCATCAAAAACCCAGGTCATTGCTGAGAATCTGATCAATTTAGGAAAAGGAACCAAAACAGTAACGATCATAAGTCAAGGATATTGCTCCTGCCATATGCAATTCCAACCTGAAATAGAATTCTGAGTCTCTGTTAGTGAGACCGTGGGATGAGAAGGAGATAAGAAGAGACTTCAATGTTCTTCTCTCAATTTGTTCTGGGTACCCACCGGTCAACTAAAATTATGGTATTTGTTGGCTGATAAGAAAACAGAGCATTGCCTTTAATGAGCATGGAGTCCTAGCCTGGTGATTTTTAAAATAAAAATGTTTATAATTTTAAAATGTTAAAAGTTCTATTTTTGAAATTTTTAATAAAAAAAAAATGGAATCTAAATCTTGGGCCTATGCTAATTATTCCAGGCTTGGCTTGGAACTCTGGTTCTCCGTAGGTCTTTGGGAGCTCCTGGCCTGTGTCACCTAAGCCTCATTCTGGGGCCAACGTGTTGGAAGCCATCGCCAACGGTTTTCTAAGGGAGCTTGAAACACATTTCCTTGGTTCTGAAGATTCAGAACAAGGCTGCGGTTGCTGTGGTGCAGAATGAAGCAAAACCCAGGAATTACATCTGGTGAATCAGAACTGCTCTGGGCCATATGCTGAGCTACCCCCAAGCCTACGGGCTACGTGGGGCTGAGATCCATATCTTTTGGCAGAAGAGAATGGTAAAGGGAAGGGAGAGCACCCAGTTGTGCTGTCTCATCTTCCCAATACAAAGCCAAATGGAAATTCAAAGGCTCCAGGTAAAAGTGGACTAGTTGTGGGCTGTATCAGGGTCCCGGCACCCTCCACCTACCTGCAGTTGCAGTCTTGACCGATTTGGATGTAGAGGCATTGGCGGCATTCTTGGTCTCCTTGTCTTTCTCTTCCCCACGTGTAGCTTTGACCTCAGGAGTGGTGGTGGGTTTTGTTGCTTTTTCTACAGATTCCTTCTTCTTAGGAGAAGCCACTCTGGACACCTTATCTGAGGATTCTTTCAAGCCCCCTGGTTTGGGCGAAGCCGCAGAGGGCTTGGACTTCCCATCACTCTTTTTGACAGGTGACGATGACTTGGCCTTTGTACCTGGCTTTTTGGTTTTGGTCTTCTCTTTCAGGTCTTTTTTCAGAGCTTTTCCCAGGTTCTGCTCAATGGCCAAGGCCTCGGGGTCCATCATAGACACATCAGGGTGGCGTGGAGAAGGGCTGCGGTCCTGCATGGGGGCTGGAGGTGGGTCCATGTGTTTGTAGGTAATGGTTTTGTCTGTGGGGATGGTTTCTGATTCATCTTCAGAGTCGATATTAGCATCAGCTGTGATGGAGGGGCACTCTTCAGTCTCTGGGGGGACATCAGAGTCGGTCTGGGATGGGGCTGACTCACTGACCGAGGTGGGAGGGGTTTCATCACATTGTCGTCCTTGTGGCTTTCCTCCTGGAGGTGGTGGGGCTCCCCCTGACTGAGTGAGGGGCTTCTCGGATTCTTCAGTTGGCTCTTCACTGGCAAACCATTCGAGAGGATTGGGATTAATGAAGGAAGGTGACAGCTCTGTCTTGGGATGCTTGTATTCACAGGAGGATACAAGGCATAAGTCAACATCCTGGCGAGCCTCTGAGGGGGACTTCTTTTCTGCAGTGTAGCATTGGTCTGAAGTCTCATAGGAATATGTAGACCCCTGGGGGGTTTTAGTAACTTTCTCTGCTGTCTCATAACAGTATGTGGAAGTATCAGGGGATCGCGTAGTTTTTGTAGAAGTCTGATAGGAATAACTTTCAGACTCAGGGAAACTGGCAATTTTCTCAGTGGTCTCATAAGAGTAGCTGGAATCCCCAAGTGTGTGGCCACCATCTTCAGAGTCATCATAGCCATTGCTGATGTCATCCAGCAGCCTTCTAGACCTCTCAGTCTTTTCATAGGTGTAACCACTCATTTCAGGGGTTCTTATCGTCTTCTCACTTATCTCATATGAGTACCCACCCTCTTCGGGGTTCCGTGTGGTCTTTTCAGTAACTTCATAGGCATAGCCACCATCTTCAGGTGTCTTGGTGGTTTTCTCAGTGGTCTCATAGGAGTAGCCACTGTCACATGGGGATTTAGTAGTTCTCTCTGTCTTCTCATAGTAATAGCTACTCACATCTGGGGTCCGGGTGGTTTTTGCATAAGACTCATAGTCATAACCTTCTTCATTTGGGGACCTAGTTGTTTTCTCAGGCTTTTGATAGGCATAGCTGAAGTCACCAGGTGTCTTCCCTCCATTGTCCTTCTCCACACCAGATGTGGTCAAATCTCTATTCAAGGCTAGATGGTGTTGCATCGTATCAAATAGCATTGAGGCACGGAAGCCATAGGGCTCTGCAGATGCTGCTTCCATTGGTGGAAGAGAGGAAGTGTGGCAAGCTGCTATGTTCTCTTTGACTGCAGAGGTAGAATCTGAAAAACTAGGTGAATATAAAGGAGAGGACTCTCTTGGGGTGAGTGGAGAGATATCAGATTTTGGTGATAGCTTCTCTTCTTCCAGACTTTGCACTTTTTCAGAGGTGAGTGAGGCATATAAAGATATATTTCTGGGAGGGGCGATATCAGATAGAGTATCTTCTTGGAGAGGAGAAGCTATCTGAGAAGGGGTATGTGCAGAAGAGGTGGATGGGGAGACCTCAACCTGAGATACTGAGATGAGCTCAGAAAGATCATTATCTTGAGTATAGGATGGCTCCTCCATTGGTGGTATCTTATGTGATAAACTAGAGTCCTGCATGTCAGAAGGACTGTAGTCCACCTCAGTTGGCCCATTTTCAGTGATGTGAAGCATACTTGCACCCACTGTAGGGTGATCTGGAGACTGTCGACTGAAGTCCATAGCAAGGGAGTGCTCAGGGGATTCTTGACCAAACTCAATGGACATCGAGGATTGTTCAGATCTGTGATCTTGAACTGGTGTTCTGGATTTGGCTGTTTTAGGGGAGAAATCTGGTGGAGAAATTGACATTGGTCTTGGGCATTCTTCTTTAGATGGAGACATTTCTGTTTCCTGGAAGGTGGTAGGCGTTTGCACAACAGACACAGAAAGGGAGTCATCTACTTCTGTGGAATGTGGGGAGCCAACCTCAGCATGCAGAGAGGGAGACACGTCATCTGTTGTTGGCTCTGGAAATGAGCTCGTAGCCACAGAAGCTGTGGAGACTGAGGCCACACCCTCCATGTGAGAGTATGTATCTTCCGCTACACCCTCATCAACAGGGGTAGCTGACTTATCTGAGACAGTGCCTTCAGAAATGGACATTTTGGTGTCTTCTTTAAAAGATCCAAACTGACTGACATCTATTTGTGTAGGAGAGACATCTCCTCCTAACTTCCTTTCATCTAAAGCCAGTCCTGATTGAGAACTCATGGCTTCAATATCATCAGTTTTCTTTTGTTGACCAAAGTCTTCCTTTATTGGTATAAAATCTGTGCTTTTCCCTTCCTGTTTGTCTTGGGAAAGACCAGTGGAAACCATGCCAGAAACTGGACTTATTTGGTCTGGAAAGCCTCGTTTTCCATTCTTTCCTTCAAAGGGGCTTTCGGTACGTCTACCAGGAGCCTTGTCATCAGCACTTAGAAAACTTTCATAGGCAGACTCAGATCCAATTAGCGGAGGGCTCCGTAAAGGAGACAAAACTTTTTCAATAGGAGACTCCGAGTCAGGCACAGGTTCATCCATGGGGCTTATGGAAGCCCTTTCATTCTCATCTTTGGCATCACTGAATTCAAAACTCACTGGAACTGCTGGTGGCTTTTCGACGACTTCTGTGGGGAGGTGACTGGATTTCTCATCGGTGGGAGATTGGTAGTAAGGTGTGTGGCCAGCACTGCCAGTCACAGACTGAGAGGGAGACACCACTTCCAGGGTCTTATCCTCAGGACTAGCACAATGTTCTTCCACTACTTCTTGGGTTACCTCAGGAGACACTGGGACTGCTTCTGCCTTTGCTGAGACTTTAATCTCATTGGGTGTCAGAGAAAAGTTCACACTACGTTCACCCAGAGGGGTCTTTTCTATGGGCGGAGACGGACTCAGGGATGGGCTCTTGGATGGACTAAGTTTTTCATCAGAAACTGCTGAGACAGTGCCTTTAATATCCAATATGGCACTGGCTTTCATGTCTTTTTCTTCAGAGTGGTAAGCATCACGTAGAACAGATTTGCTAAATTTGTCTTCCTCCATGGATGAGGGTGGTGAAATGGTGGAGGCTGAGGCATTGTAATCCTTCCCATCAGTGGCATCTGTTTTTGATCCCTCAGATAATCCATTGAGCGATGTAACAGCAGGTTTGGAATATTCCTGAGAATATAGTGAAGACTCATATTTGGTGACGTTTACAAATTCTTGAGATGGGGACTCTGTCTCTTCATTGTTGGTCTCATCACTCATCACATCGCGAGGAGTAGACATCTCATCCATTGGGGTGGGCTCACTGGATATCTCAATGGTAGACTGAGTGTAGCCGGAAGTGGCAGTGAATTCTTCAGGCTGGTCTTCTCGGTTCTCCTCATCAGAAGCAGTGGCCTCACTCTCTGAACCTCCAGGTAATGTCTCATCATGAATGGAAGATGCAGGTTCCCGAGCAGGAGACTGGGCTCCCAGTTGCTTGGTTGAAGTGGTAAGGAATCCGTACTGATCCTCAGCACCACCAGCCCCCGCAGCCTTGTCAACCACGGCCATCACATAATCTTCAGCTTCAGCTTTTTCAGGCTCATATTCTTCCTCTCTGGCATCCTCCGCTTTGTCCTCCTCATCACCCTCCTCCTCAGATTGTTCAGCTTCTCCTTTCTCTACTGCCTCGTCCATGTCTTCTTCTGCTCGGTCATCACCACTGGCCACAGACTCCCGCTTCTCCTTGTTGTGCACATCTGCCTCAGCCTTCGCACTTTCTTCCTCCTCCCCGAGGCTGTGCCTGGAGGTGCTCACACACACGTTTTCTTCACCGTCTTCTTCTGGCTCCTCAGCCTCCTCAGTTTCTGCCTTTTCCTCATAGTCTCCAGTCTCTGAGGATTCTTCAAAACCCGCTCCTTCATCTTCAAATTTTTCAATATCGTCCACCCCCTGCTTCTCGACTGGCTCCAGCTCCTCGGGTGTTTGCTCACATTCACCCTCCCCTTCGGTGGTGGTGATTCCCTCATCAGGGGACTCGGCGGCAGGACCTTTGATGACTTCTGTCTCTTTCTGGATGACGTAGGCTTCGACTGGCTTAGTTTCCTTCAGTTTCTCTTTATCTTCGATCAGCTCCAGCTGAGGCTTGACGTCTTTCGCTACATCAACCTCTTCAGCCTTTAGCTCTTCAAAGTCCTTGGTTAGATCCTCAGGGGATGACATCAGGGACCTCTCAGTTTCCAGTTCTTTGGCAGGGCCAGTGGTTGCTATTCCAGCCGCCGCCGCTGCCATGGCTGCTGCAGTGGCCACAGTGCCGATGGCTGCAGCTGCAGCATCTGTTGTCTTGCCTTCCTTCTTAACAACTTTAATTTTCCCCTTCTCCTTTGGCTTCCCAGCAGCAGTGGATTCTTTCTTGACAGATTCTTCCTTCTTGGGTACTTTTGGTTTTAACGCAGCTGGTTTTTTTGCTTCAGATAGAGGAGTAGATGATTTCTTTGAGTCTTTAGGAAGTTTCTTAATTTCTTTTTTGGGCTCCTTTTCTTCCTTTTTAATTTCCTTCTTTTCTTCCTTCTTAACTTCCTTTTTGGCTTCCTTCAGTGGTGTTTCTTTCTTAACCTCTTTCTTGGATTCTTTTTTCTCCTCTTTCTTGATTTCTTTTTTTACTTCCTTTTTCACCTCTTCCTTTTTTGGTTTTTCCTCCTTCTTAATAGGTGTCTTGTCCTCCTTTTTAGCCACATCTTTCTTTGGCTTTTCCTTCTCCTCTTTCTTTTCTTCAGATTTCGCCTTTGTTTCCTTTTTCACTGTCTTCTCCTTGGTGACTTTGGGTTTGACATCTGTGGCTTGCTTTTCAGCCACTTCGGCTTTCACTGGAGGCTGCTCTTCTTTGCTGGGCACCTCCTTTTCGGTCACTGGTTTGGTCTCTGTTTTTGCTGGCTTGTCTTTTTTCACTGTTACCTTTTCTTTGCTTTCAACTTTGGGTGGCTTTTCCACATGATTCGCTTTTGTGACCTCAGAGGTTTCCTCTTTAGACTCTTTTCGCACAGATTTGCTGGCCAGTGGTTTTGTGGCTGGCTTCAGACTTTCTCGGCTATCAGCCCTCTGTTTCAGTTTTACTTGTTTCACAGCAGGAGTGGCCACCTGGCCAGTTAGATCCTTCTGGGTGGCCAGCGGCTGTTTCAGGAAATCTAAATGTTTGAGCTTTTCCAGTCCTTCCAGGATATTGTATTGGGTGCTGTTTCCAGGAAATAGGACCCGGATGATTTTCTCTGCAGGGTTTGCTGGATGCCACACGATCAAAGATGAGACTGAAGTTAAGTAGGAAATTGGGATATCTATTTCTTGACCATTAGGCAGGATTAATTCAGCCTTGTCTTTGTTGGTGCCAGTCCACTGCTGCATAAAATACTGCATTTCCTTGCTGCTCTTGACTGGGTTAAGCACATACATCTCAAGTTTACCAACTCCCATTTTTTGGAAAAGAATGACAGGATCAATGGTATTGCCTACACTTCTGAATAGAGGTTCTGGTTTCATGGACAATTTGTTTAGGTACTGGAGAGTGAAGCAAGCTTCTTCAATGCTTCTCTTCATCTTGACGTTTGGCTCTGGGTTTTTCAGATTTTCGGGGACATTGAGAAATACAACTCCTAAATCAGGGGAGATGAGGTTTTTCATCCAGTCACTATTGGTGGTGGAGCCCTGAGACTGCTCTTCCTCAAGCTCTGCAATTTTCCGCTGTAGCATGCTATTGATTCCAGGCAAATTGTCATCCCCAATGTGGGTGAGCAGGATGGAGTCCACTCGGTCCAAGTGTCGGATGAGCTTCCAGAAGCAGGATTTTCTTTCTGATCCTCCGTTGATGAGCATATTGAATCCGTTCACTGCAAACAATGCAGAATCGCCCCTCCCTCCTGGAAAAATGTAGCAACAGGGCTTGGAGAGCTTTAGAAATCCACCCGATGTGGGAGGTTCCAGGATATCAAAGGGAGATGGGACTTCCACGGATTCTGAGAGATACTCAGTAAACTCGGAAAGTCCTTCCATTTCTGGCAATATAGAAGCTGAGTTGAGTTTAATATTGATGAAGTCTTGGAGATTGTGTCTGTCAAGATTGGAGTTCTTCCAGTCCCCTTCTTCAGGGCAGAAGAGCGTTAAACTAGCTTTGTTGGCAGGATGGGTGGTACTCAGTAATTCTCCAATCTAGGATTTAAAAAAGTAATAATAAACAAAGAAAAAAAAGATTTAAGTGAATGTCATTGCTGATGCATCATCTCCATCTATTACTAGGTGTTATAGGATCACTGGATGCACACAGGGCTGTTTTCAGAGATGCTGGCTGTTTAAATGCTGAAATATTTCCACAAAGGTAAGTGAACAGCCTCTGTCTTGACCTCCCCTCTACTACTTCCTTATGCCTCAGTCACCACCTCCTGAGACATGTACGTCATCTGTTCTTGTCCAGCAGGGGACCTCCAGAACTCTGCTCCAGTTCTAAGACCAGTGACCATCTGGATGATCAGTGCCTGTGTCACAGCGATTATGAAATACATTGAATATTACCCCTGGGTACTTGCCACGCAAAGATGCCCTTTAAAAAATATGATACTATCACAGGGGAAGGCTATGTGAGTCATTTCATCACAGACAGAAAATGTTTTCTTTTATTCCACTGGGCTTGGTATAAAGATCTGATTGATACATTGAAGAAATTTAGATATAGTGCACTTATTGTTGTCTACTTTTAGAATTTGGTAGGTTGAAAAAAAAAATTTTGGTGTGGTTCCCCATCACCCTCCAGAAGACAAGAAGTTATGGATTGCTCATTACTACAAAAAAAAAAATGTATTAGTTCTGGCATCAATTCACACTATTTAAAACAAGAGTGGTTTACCCAGCAGATTCTCTACAAATACAAATGCTTTTATTGAAGGCCTGATAATTAAAGCAACTGGGTAATCACACAAGCAAGTAGCCAAATTCGTCCCCATTTGCTCATATTTAAATTCAAGGTAGATATTCTACTCTCTCACAACTCCTGTTCTTTTCAGGGCAAGCTGTGAGTGAGCGGCTAAGATCAAATTTGACTCAAACGTTTTTCAATGCATTGTTTAGTGTTTCCCATAGGATGGGAATGCAGAAGAGCAAATCAGGACTGAGACAGAGATTGTGGTTCAAAGAAAATGCTATTTTCTGTTTCACTCTGTATTATGGCCATATGTTTCATGGTCTTAGCTTAGTAAAGAGTGAGGGAGAATCATGCCATAAGCTATAGTCTTCTTTCAGTTGCAGCAAAACTCATAAATCAGCCCAGACATTCAACTGAAAAGAGTTCTTTGTCCTTGATGGTAAATGATGAAAGGGCAAAGCAAAGACTTCTTGTGGGCCAGCAGGTCTGAACTCTTACCTTCTAGTATTAGAGTGGTTTCCTCTGTCTCATACAATCTCCCAGATATATTCTGAGGCTACCAGTGTGTATGTATGCATAAGGGTAATTTATAGAATCTGAATATTCCTATATGAGATTGCAGTAAAATAGCCATTTTTGTTTTACTAACCGTTTCATTCTACATTTTATGTGAAGGGTCACAAAATAACAAAATAACAAGTCTTTGAGTTTGCTGTTTCCTCTGACTTAACTTGACAATCTCCTATAAAAGGAATAAGAATCAACTATTTTGGAAGCTAAGGAAATTGAAAATGTGAATGGTAACTATCCCTGGGATAGTCTTTGCTCAAATTATTTGCTGACCAAAGCACACATGAACACGAAATATGGTTCCTGTCCAATAATTAGCATAGACCCTCATCACCATCACTATTGCACAATTAGGATTCTTAGGATTCTCTCCATCCTAATTTTCACACAGAGCACACACAAACTATTCATGTTTTATAGTACATTTTAGAGGAAAAATCTAGGATAACTAGATTTTCAACTATTAAAAATTCAACTGCTGAATTTTTAATAGTGAAATTTTAAAAATTTAGTCTATTTTAATTTTTGAAATTCCATCCTAACTCAGGGGTGTCGCAGCCAAGGGTTTGATCCAGTTGTGTGTAGGGGGTATTCAATCACTAGCTCTTTTTATGTGACATATGTAATCACCAAGTTCAAGGAGATGGTAAAAAGACTTGAGGAATACCTTTCTACATTCCATCTTTTCGCCTCTACTCAGAGAGTTCTTATGAAATGAAGGAAAACAACCCCAAATAAAAACAAGGTTGCAGAGAATTCTGAGGAAGTCAAGGGTAATGAGAAACAGCAAAGAGGGGCTGGTGAATGAAAAATGATGACGTATAAGGGAAAGCAGGAAAAAAAGCCAGCGCTGCAGGACAGGTTTCTTTTCATAGAGGGAAAACCTGGTCCCTCTGGACAAGCAGCAGCATACTGTACATGGTAAGACAAGAATGCAGAGACTGGGGCTAGGGAGAGCCCTTCAAGAAGGAGATGGGTGGAATGGCGCAGGGACAAGGAGGAAGAGGAACAACTGCTACAGCCTCGGAGCTACACAGCAGAAGCCAACTCCCCCCGCTTCTCCCCAGAGCCTGCCTCCAGACCTGTACCCCAACGCATGCACTAGACAGTGAGTGCCTCAAGGGCAAATACTGGGTCTTACGAGCATCCAGCCCACAGCGGCACTCAATCAATGCTTCTTCAGTGAACGGATGAAAGCAATAAGGAGGATCCAACAGTTTGAGCAGTAGCAAGGAAACTGGAGACTAGGTCTTAGCCTTAGAAACGGAGGCTTCTTTCTTCTACAACAGTTGAGAAATCATCATCACAGTAAATGGTAGCTATTATAGCCCATTATATTAAAAGTTCCTGAATAAGAGGAAACACATCTTCTATATCTCTGTATCATAGTTAACTTTGTTTCCCCAATATAGCATCTGGCCATAATAGCCAGATGTTTGTTGAACTGCACTGAACTTGGCCAATTCAATACGTGCTGTCCTCCTAGAGCGGACACATGGGAAGTGACGTGAACCTGCTCATACCTCTCAAGCACACTGAGGGCTACCATCCCCTTGTTCTTAAAAAGATGGATGAAAGACATGACTGGAAGAAATATTGCTTGGGGCAAAGACAGTCTTTTTTGTCAATTTCTTTTTCTAATTAAATGCAGGCATACTGGAAGAGGAAGGAAGATAAAAGAAATAAATGACTTTACTGCAGATAATATCAATGAAAATAAAATTTGAACTTTTAAGCCATGAGTTACTAACTACATTTCCTTTTTTGATTAGGTTACTTTCTTGGCTAATGAGGAAATACAGTGGAAAGTGTATCTCTGGGTTTCAGCAAGATGTTTCACAGGATCTCTGAACAGTGTGATAACAGCATTAGGTGGAATTGTAGCCAGCCATATAAATAAAGGGAAAGCAGCAAAAAAAGCCAGCGCTGCTGGACAGGTCAACCTGGGAAGAGGTCTCTGACGGACTTCCTCAGGGCTCATTTATGTCCTGCTGAGTATAGGCTTGGATAAAAATGGTAAAGACATGATTATCAAATCTTTGATGGCATGAAATTAGGAAGCATAGCAAAATGTGGGGTGGCACAATTAAGAAATTTACAAAAGCTTTGGGCATTGGGATGATGATGGCTAAGTCAACTCTACCAGGACGGTATTCTAAAAGGATAAATGTAAGGTCCAATAAACCAGTGAGGTAAAGTGCAGGATTTGGAGATGTGGCTTAACAATATCCATGGAAAAGACTCAGGGATTTTCGCTGACAGTCAAGTGGATTTATCATAAAGTTAAAAGAGCTTAAACTTCCAGGCCCCTTACTGGCGCAGACCCCTCCCAAAGCCCTATACTTAATTGTCTATTAATAATTTTGTTTTCTTTTTCTTACAGGGAGCTCCCAGATTATGTAAATTACAGAGCTCCTTAAAGCCTGACTCCCTTCCCCATTGACATTTAATTGTGGATGGTAATAGTCCACTGACTTTTAGACTTATTTAATAGAAGGCTGTATTGTAAATTATAGAAGTCATTGACTTTCACAATTCTAACCTGGTCAATAACCCCTGGAGTATGGTGTCCAATATAAGTCATGACATTTTAGAGAAACTAGACCATAAACAAACAAGCAAACAAACAAGAGAACAAACTGAAACAAATCTCCTTGCTGGCTCCTTCTCCTTGACTTTAATCTCTAAATGCTAGACAGGAGCCCCTTTCCCTTCTACACTGCTCTCGCTAGATCACTTCATCTATTTTCTCATATGCTGATGGCTTCCAAATTAATATCTCCAGCCCAACTCTTAGTTCCCTGAGCTCTGGACTCATACATTCAACTTGGCGTCTGATAACACCAAGGCACTGAAGCCTGCGCAAGACTGAACTCTTAAATTTCCCCCATGCCCATTCCCTTTCCCCTTCCTGCCAATGGAACAAGTTTGAAGGACAGTGACCAGGGATGTGAGGAACCTTTAATGTCTTGTTTTATGAAGAACAGTGTGTGAAACTGAAAATGATTAATCTGGAAGAAAAAAAATTGGCAGCGTTGGTGAAGGATGTCTAAGACACTGTCAGGTAGAACAGGGATCACATTTCTTCCTCAAAGATACTATGAGTCAAATAAGGAAAAACTTTCTAACAGGCAGACTGAAAAATATCCCCAGGAGATGGTGATTTCATCATCCTCAGATTTCAGGGAGGGATGGGTTAGCCAGATGCTGGTTCTATCTCTAAGTTCTAGTCTTGTAGTCAACCTCCAAAGACGAAGACTCTCAAAACCTGAAGCTTGAAATGCACTGATAATTCTATTTTTCAGTCCATTTAGTTTTAGCTCTTCTTGTCAAAAAAAAAAAAGTATCATTTTTGTTTTTCCCAAATTGTGTTTCTGATCGCTGTAGAGTGACGAGAATGTATCAAGGACTGGATAAAAGGAACAAAACTGGACACCAAATGGCCTTTTAAGGTCCCTGTTACTGAGTCATTCTGACTCAAACCCTTTTCCCAGTGCAACAACAGGCAATCATAGCTCCAAAGGGCTGGTAACCACAGGGCTAGTGCGGCAATCTTCCATCCACTTTGGCTGTGGCAGCCTTTCCTCAAAGTCCACAACATCAAGGAGCTAAAGGCTGAGTTGCTCTGGTTGGAGCGGGACGCAGAGTGAGTTCCACCCAAGGTCCTCTCTTCCTCTTGTCTTCCCCCACCACTTGATACCCTGTTAGGAAGAGATCTAGAAGTCTTTTTTCCCCATGTATTGAGCATTACCTCCTCCAAAATATTGGAATAGGGCTTACTGGGCAGGCAGAGGAGAGCATGACAGAGTCTCTGCCCTAAACAGCACTTGCCTGAATAGAATGAAGGTGTGTGCTCTCCAGAACCCACCCCAGGGATTATATACCCTGGGGAATCAGCCCTTCCACAGAACTCACACTCTTCAGTTAAGGCCAGTTCTTTTTCTTCTGTAATCAGTGGTAAATTCTGATGTGTGCATAGTCCATTGTGCTAAAATTCTACTTCCATGGGCTAGTAAAAATGATTTAAGCAGCAATTTCATAACACTATGCCTTATTTAAAGAGAGAGAGGTGTATTATTTGGGGTCTAGACAGATGAATTGCGACAACACCTTATTTAAAGCTCTGGCAATAACAAACCCTTTTCTTTACATATGTCCTCTGGTTTTATTGAAAAAAAAAATCCAATGATGTGGGGTAGAATCCAACAATAGAAACTAGCTGCAGAACTGCATGGGAATGTAGGAGAGGCACCCATGTGCATACAAGATGAGCTAAGGATTCAGGGCTGACCCCCAAGCCTACAAGCAGGCCAGCTAACCACCCACCCATGTTGCTGAGCCATGGGGCTGTATCCAGGCCTCTGCCGCTGTCTCCCTTTCCCAAGGCAAGGTTCTGATAATGTGTGTGACCTCTGGGCTACCAGACAAATGCCCAGCTGCTCTCAGGCAGAACATGAACATGGGGACACAATCTTACAAAAGATTCTGACATTAAAGTGGTCACGCACCAATTTCAGGGTGGCAGGTAGAGTGGGAATTGTAGTTCTAATAGCTTGGGAATTTCAATGCAATTGAACGAAGGTTTATTGGACCTTTACTATGTGTGGGTATAATGGATATGAGATGGAGGAGAATAGAGCCTGAACTCTAACAGTGTTGGAGGATGACAGATCATAAGCTCTCAGAAAAGGCAAGGCAAAAGCCTTCATTTTGAAGCAGTAAAGATGATACCAGCTGTGAGTGAGCCCTGGGCTCCTTCTCGCTGTGAGAAACCAGAACTATCTGCCTCAGGGCCCAGATGACATCACACCTCCTGAAAGCTTGGGTTTATTTTTTGTTTTTTTTGGTTTTTTTAGCTGAACCATCCTGCCACCTGTTGGCAGCTCAGCGGCAGCTCAGCTTGGGCCGGGAATCGAACTGACGACCCTGTTGCTCAGAGCTCGCACTCTTGAGTGAGCTCTTAACCAAATGAGCCACTCAGCCAGCCCAGCTTGGGTTTTTTAATGTTCCTTTTCACAATTTTTATTCCCCCGCTGTGGGTAGAGAGTGAAACACAGTTATGTCATCCAACCAGTCTTTTTATAGAAGCCTCCAGGTGAGCCAAATGAAGGTGGACAGCTTATTTACAGCCCTCCCAGTGATGAAAAGTACACAGAGACCTCTCTGTGAAGCATAGCCTAAGGAAGATTAAATGCAGGGAGACAGATGTCCCTTCACAACACCCAGGAGGCTGAGAGGCTGCCATCTCAGGAAGTGCTTAGGAGGATGGTTTTAAATAGAAGTGGTAGCTCCTCCTGTCAGTACATCCCTCAACTTCTCCATGTGGAAATCTGCTATCAGCTACCCAACCTGTTGTGGTGACAGCCCTGAATTGTTTCTGTAACTACTATAAACAAACAAAATGAAAGAGGCACATTATTTTGGAAAGAAGTCTCCCAGCCAGGATAAATTCTCAAGCAGAAATAACCAAATTAAAATCTTCAGTCTGATTTTCCCAAATACCACTGCTATCATCTAGTTTTTAATACTTCACATGTATCATCCTTAAATAAGATCTATTCATTAGAACTATTAACAATCTAGTTCAGTCCAGCTACTTTAACCCTCTTTTTCTAGGGGCACTAACTTGCTCCATGAACGTGCCCCATTTTCCCACATGCCTCCCTTTCTCAAACCCTACCTTTTTTGGGCTATTCAAACAGCCTAAGTTCAAACGTTTGAGATCAGGCATTAAAAGTAAGAGACATCAGAAATAATCGGATCAGAAAAAATAAGTAACAGAACTGAAAGAGATCAGTTACATCCTACAAAAAGTCCAAGAGATCTTTGGAGTATTCTTTTAGAGAACAAGAAACCTGGGTTTTCTTTTAGGGTCATTTCAAGTATTTCCTTTATTTTTGCCATCTGTAAAATGTTGATTGTTCCAATCCCGCTCCATCTGTATCTCGGGCACATTAAGAATGCTTCCAATTAATTTTAGATGAGTGCTCTAAATTCTTTGGTGACGAGCCACAGAACTATATAGTATGCTAGATCACAGGTTTTGCTTATTTCAAAGGAGGTGTGACATTCCCTTCCCTTCTTCTTCTATCGCCCTAGGGTGCTTTCAAAGAACAGCCAGAAGCTACAACAGTAACCAAGCCGATTGTAAAAGATACTCCCAGGCAGGAGCCCACCTCTTGATCGGTGAAAATCTCTATGAAGTTCTGGAAGGAGAAAGAGCCGGACTGGAGAATGAGCTCTCCAGTGTTTTCAAAGCACTGTCCCGTCAGCACGAGCAGCTTGTGTCTGGCAGCATCAGTGATCATTAAGCGCACCTGAAACAAACCACACAGAACAGAACATGAGTGAGTCTCTGCCATCCCACCGTCAGGACAAGGCTGGCCCTTGAAGGGCTTGAAGTTTATTACCAGCCCAAATCATGCATTCCTCTGCATTCAAATTTCCCCTGGGGCATTGGACAAAGCAAAGGACTGTGGTTATCAGCTGAACCAGGAACACCATTTTCCAAATTTGGCTGCAATCAAGACAGTAGCGGTGGTTGACTTTCTTCCCCTAGTTTCCTTTTTTTTTGAAACCTGTCTGCACAGCTGGTGATCATTTGTTCCACAGCTGTGTCTGCTGGCAGCATGTGTTCTTGTGAGACTTATGAATATCTCACAGGCTGAGTCACTGAGTACAATCCAGGTCTCCCAACTGCTGCCTCAGGAAGCAGGTTTCCAACTAGGGTCCCAAGTCAACCTCTCCCATCTACAATCCCTTTCCTTCCAAGCCACACACCAAACTTCACAGCTCCAAATGCGGCGTCTGATGGGATCAGCATGGTACCTAACATCGAAAATAATCAAAAGGCTGCCCGATTGGGAATCTTTTATATAGAATGGTAAATGGCTTGCACTAAAGAACACCGAGAACTTTAAGTGGCAGGACGCCAGCCTGTCCTTCAACAGAAACCCGCTCTAAGCCCCAAGGTATTCATTCTAACCAACTCTGCTCAGCACAAACTGACTACCGGCACCATGCTCAGCACTGAGGGAGGGACACAAAATTAAACATGGTATGAGGACCCACTGCCCCCCAAAACCCCACAGTCTAGTCAAGGAAACACACATATACCAAAGTAATTGTTCCAGTCCCATCTGTTCCACAGGCAAGTCTGAATTCCTTCAAGAAATTCCTTATTTTTTCCTTTTCCATTTTTCACAGCTATTGTAGGCAGCCTACCGAGACATATATTAATCTTCCACCTTTTTTCAAATTATATTTACTTCCTGGTTCTGCTAGTCAGAGAGATTGCTAGCCCATCACTTGCCTCAACTTTGTGCTTTAATGGATTGCCGAAAAGGTCCTGCTGATCTGGAGCAGGTGACGTGGGATCAAAACAGGACACATAATGACAGCCAAAAAGTGGAAGCAACTTAAATGTCCATCAACCGTTCAACAGACAAACAAAATATGGTATATCCATACAATGGACTAGTCTTCAGCCACAAAAGGAATGAAGTACTGATACATGCTATAAAGTGGACGAACCCTGAAAGTATTATGCTAAGTGAAATAAGCCAGACACAAAAGGCCATATATTATATGACTCCCATTATCTGAAATATTTAGAATAGGCAAATTCAGAGGCAAAAAGTAGGTTAGTGGTTGCCAGCAGCTGGGGGAAATGGGGAGTGACTGCTAATGGGTTCAGGGTTTTTGGGGGGTGATGGACATGTTCTAGAATTAGATAGTGGTGATAGTTGCACAACTTTGCACACATACTAAAACCCACTGAATTGCACACTTTAAAAGGATGGATTTTATGTTATGTGAGTGGTATGGTATGTAAAATATCGCAATGAAAAAAAAACAGGCGGGCCGGCCGAGTGGCGCGTTGGTTAAGAACTGGCTTGGGACGCCAGAGGGCCCCGGTTCGGATCCCACATATGAGGGTCAGTGACACTGCCCTCTATAGCTAAGGTAGTGAACAACAGCTCGACCTGGAGCTGGGTTGCCGTGAGTCGCCGGCGACGGCATAGGCTTTGGCCTTGCTGCAGTGAGTTGCCATGGGCTATCATGTGTAGCCAGCAGCCAGAGTGTGCGGCCAGCAGCCGCTGTGAGCAGCCGTCCAGAAACTGGCGACTGATCTGCCTCGCCCAGGAAGAGCGCAATGACGGTGCCAATTTGGGCCAGTGAAGCAACATCCTCCACAACTAGACTGAAGAACAAAAAAGACAGCAACTTGTCTGTTCCCCTTTCCCCAATTCCCCAGTGCTGTTCCCATTCCCCAATAAAAAAAGAAAAAAAAAATCAGGCTACAGTCACAGAGAAGCTCAAAGCATGGGCAGAAGAGACATTGCAGATAATGGAGGCCCCCAGGGACTATGGCTACGTTACTGTCCGAGAAGCAACCCAATCTCAAGGTTGCTAAACTGTAAGAAAGGAAGTGGGAAATATAGAAAGATATCAACTCCTCTCCCCTGGGTCATCGAGGCTTCTTGACTTTAGCCAAGTTCCTATCTTACGGTGGGCTCTGAAATACCCAGTTACTCTCTGGCAATTTGATATGATGGTAATCATAATATTTGTAATGAGAACAGCCAACATTTATATTTCAGTTGTTACATGCCAGGCTCTGTTCTAAGCACAACATTAAATATGAACATTAAACGTAAACCCTGTTACAATCTCCATTTCACCGATGTGGAAACTGAGATAAAAAAAATAGTAAATAACCTGCCCAAGGCCACCAGCTAATAAGTGGCAGCACCAGAGACCAGCCACTGACTAGGGGTAAGGAAGCATCCTGGACCCAGAACTTCTCTCTCCCATGTTCCTCTCCTGCCACCTGCCCCAGCCCCTCCAATCAGCTACGTCCTGTCACTGCGTGAGGCCCCATCAGAGATACTGCAGAGCTGAATCCTTACCTCAGTGCTGACTGCTTCATCTGAAGGGTTGATCAGGACCACTGTTTCTAACACGTCACTTCGATGATGAAGGATCTTTTGTCCTGCAGGCACAAAAACACAGACAAAAGAGGAGACCTTTAGCTTTTCCGGATTAAAACTGCCCCGCCTGCTTCTGGGATGGCAGAGGCATTTCTGCCTCTGATGATGCACATGGCACCAGGGTTCTCCATGCTGTCTTGGGAAACACAATTGGTGTTACTAAACAAGAGTGTGCGGACCCCAGCAGGTTTCGCCTGGAATTGGGTTCGTGTGGTCTCGGGCCCCTCACACTCTCATAACCCCCTAAGTTTTTATGGTTGATCGCCAGGCTGCCTCTGGGTGTTAATGGCAGTTTTCATCTGAGAAAAGGGGTGGATGCCAGGAAAACTCAACGGGGCTCTTGACATTTCCTTTCTCATGGTAATTGGGGATGTTTCTCCATATCGGCCTTTCTACTGGTGAGAAAAGTGCTGAGATTAATTAGGAGCCTTATTGTGAAATGAATGACATCCAGAAACCCTGGCTAACAATTAGCCCAACAACCAGAATGGCTTTCTGAGGCAGGCTTACAGTCTGTTGGGGTATTCATTAATTAATTCACTTGCTCATAGAAAAGTGGAAAAACTGAGCAGATGAAAAGTGGAGAACAACTCTCCTGCTGAACGGGGTGGCCAAATTGCCCCCTAAAGACAAGCAAAGTTGATGGGGAACAAGAAAGCAAGGTGTTGTGGGAAAAAAAGAAGCCTGCCTAAGGAGGGCTAAAATTCTGCAGGGTCTTTAGCTCCACATCTCTGGTTTCCCACACCTTAGAGGCTTTAGGGACATTCTGTGGCTGAAACCACCTCCAGCTGAAGTAGACTGAGGCCTATGGATCACCTACAAAGTCCCCCCTTCGTGGACAATGAGATGAAAGTAAGCAGGTGATGTGTGGCCAGGGTAGGTGATATATGCTCTACCAATCTATGAGGGACAGAGAAGACGTGGGAGGGGGGGTAAACCAGAATATGTCAGCTGCTTGGAAATCAGTGAAACGTGGATAACAGGAAGAAATGGAACAGAATCTGAGGAAGGCAGACACCAAAAGAGAGAAATACAAGAAGAGAGAATGACTAAAAAGGCAACTGTTTTCCAGGAAAACAGTGGGGTATTCCTTCAGGAAGCTAAAATAGACTTACTGTATGACCTAGCAATTCCACTCCTAGGTGGACTTGAACAGATACTTGTATGCCAATGTTCATTACAGCATTATTCACAACAGCCAAAAGGTGGAGACATCCCAAATGTCCACCATGGATGAAACAAAACATGGTATATCCATACAGTGGAATATTACTCAGCCATAAAAAGGAATGAAGTTATGATACATAGAACAACATGGATGAACCCTTAAAATATTATGCTCAGTAAAATAAGCCAGACACAAAAGGACAAATACTATATGATATTACTTACATGAAATATCTTGAATAGACAAACTCATTGAGTCAGAGAGCAGATTAGCAGTTACCAGAGGATGGGAGACAGAAAATGGCAAGTTACTGGGTACTGAGTTTCTGTTTGGGGTGATGAAAAAATTTTGGAAATTGAGGTGATTGTTGCATAATATTGTAAATGTAAATTAATGCCACTGAATTGTACATCGAAAAATGGTTAAAATGGCAAATTTTATGTTTTCTATATATTTTACCAGAACTTTAAAAAATTAATAATGTAATATACCAAAATCCATTGAATAGTACACTTCAATTGGTTGAATTTGTATGGTAGGCAGATTGCAATCTCAATGAAGAGATTTAAAAAAAAACAAAAAACTATCCAGAGTACACAGCTTAGTTAGGGCTTTTTTCCTTCATCTCAAGGACCGGAAGTATAATGGAAACAGCAGCATGATGAAATACCACCATCTCATCTTCAAGCCTGTTCTCCTCCATCATCTTATCTTTCCTAATTGCTAATATTTACCAGTAGATCCCACATTAGATATGGAAGAAAACCAAACGAAACAATAATGGTGTCAGGCACTGCTCTAAGCCCCTCACATGTACTAATTCATTCAATCCCTAGAAGAGCTCTATGACACAGGTACTATGACTGCCCCCTTTTACTATGAAGACAACGAGGTCTATAGAAGAGAACTATCTAGCCCAAGGTCACCAACTAGTAAGTGGTTGAGCAGGACTTGAACCCCAGTCTCCTGACTTCTAGAATCCTCCTTTTCACTGCTCCGCAGTGCTGATAACTGGGACTAGGATTTGGAAAAAACAGACAAGGCACAGACATCAAATGCCAAGGGAAAGCTAGGGAAAAACCCAGAGGAATAAAATCAGAGATATGCTTAAAGAAGCAAGAAGCCAGAAAGCATTAGAATATTGGCAAAAGGGAGAAAAAAGCAAAGGTAGCAGAACACCCACATAAAAGAGGGTAAAATTAAGAGAACGTATGTGATCCTTTACTTTTACCCCCAATGCCTGAAAATGAAGAGACCCCCAACTAGAGCAATGTCACACAGTTTGAGCAGGCAAAGGACTGAGCCTCAAGAAAAAAATTCAACTCAGCCATAGGAAAGAACATTTGTTTATTATGAACACGGAGTCTGTAATTTGCTGAATGTAGCTTTTCACAAGTATATGCATTTAAAGATCAAGCAAAAGAACATCAAATTGAATAAGCAAATGATAAAATCACAATCAGCAAACACATGAAAACTGTCCCCTTTCTAAATCCTTCCATCAGTGGCCTCCTTGAAACAAAGACTTCAGGAGCTTCCAAGGCACTAAGTTGAGACAAAGGCAAGCAAAAGTTTAAGACCAAAGAGAAGTGATGGTCATGTCCTTGATCATACTTTTGACGTGACTGTTTCCAGGCAGCATGAGGCTACGGTATGACTAATTCTGTAGGAACCAACAAAAGCAGACTTGGCTCCCTCCCCAAAAGATGGTAAAGGAATCAGAGTTCCTTTCTGTTGTAAGTGATCTACACAACGCATAAACCCTTCTAACTACATCCTTCCAGATTCACGTCTAAGCAAGAGTCTAAGCAACATCGCCCGACCAGCCGGAGCTTTGGCCCTCCCAACATGCCCCTCCCGAGACACTCCCTGGCAGGGGGCTTCTTACCATCCGCAAGAAGTTCCTTTCCTCTGTGGCTTCATCACTTGCAAACAAAACAAATGCCATGTACAGTAGATGGTTACCTGTACTCCTTCCAAGTCAACTTTCAGAACTGTTTGTTCAGGAATTCAACTAAGGATTTTTTTTTTGTCCATCTTTGGAAATACTGATAGCAATGACACAGACGTGCACCAAGATGCCATGTCTGCTCCTTCAACAAAAGCCTTTTTATAGGATTGGATTTGAATGAAGGAGGGGGGGG